CTAGTTACATTTTCAATCAGTTATTCAGCTGAAATTGTACAAGAAATAGAGTTTCAAGTTGGCTATAACAACTATCCTTATTTGATGAGATTTATGTTGTCTTTATCCTGTTACCCCCAATTTAGTGACTTGGCTGACCAACCTGAGACACCTCATTGCTGTGTTGTTTACAGTTCCCCATACATCTTTCAGGGTCTGAAGCTGCATCTGAATAACCAACTGGCCATCCGTGTTGCTGCTCTTTAGTGCCTGTTCACCTTTCCCGATGGCCAAGTTCAACTTCACTTCACCTTCTCCTTTAACAAGTAGCATCTCCTAAGCAAGCAAACATAAAAACATTCAATTTAGCATCTATGATGGGATGAATCCAGGACAAGTGATCAGAGATATTTTGCAAAGACATTAATTGTTCTGTAAAATGAGAGCATAAAGAGCATGTCAAAATAATCATCTAATAATGATCTAGGACTAAGGCCATAAACCATTTATTTTTTATGAAATTATAACTCTAAGGTGCTTATGAGATATGCAATTCGGGTAAACCGCTGATAGGTCTGAATTAAAATGAATTGCAGTTTGGCAGAAACCAAAAACACAAGTCTAGTTCTTTACCTGGACCTGCAGAAGACGCTGCTCAAGTGTGTTTTTGCTACCCACTGTGCTTTCCGTGGTAGCTAGTTTATCTTGCATTTCTTTTAACCATGACCATGTTGTCTGTAAAGCCTCTTCAAAAATCTGGTGCTCTTGGAGGGCAACTTGACAGACCCGCAGCTTTTCTTTTGTGGCTTTAACCAAGTTTTGGTAGCTTGTGAAAAGTTGTGATGAGAAACGCACTTCCTGTCCCTCACCTCGTCCACCTTCATTTAAAACTTGGGCTCGTTGAGAAAGTTTGTCAAATGATTCTCTGCAAGAACAAAAATACTGATCTAACTTCAACTACATTAGCCCATTACACTTGGCATAGTCATGAGGAGGCGAGATTAATATTCTGCCCTAATTCATATGGGCAACACTAGGTGTGAGCAACAGGCATTTTTTACCTTGCAGCCAACAGTTCTTCCAAGTACATCTCAACTTTATGCATTTCAGCTTTCTTTTCGGGAATGTGCTGTTTGCTCTCTCCAAGTGTCTCTGTTCTTATTTGTTCTTCTAGGTCATGCAGCCACAAGCTCAACTTCTTGTGTTGATCTTCAAAACTGAAAAAAACAACATTATATAAATGGCATAAATGATGCTAACTTTGGCATAATTACCTAGCTGATCTAATACAATATGTGATTTACATATTATTAGCTTTGATGGTGTTCAAGTTATCACATTTGTTATAATCATTGTACTCTTAAGAATTTGTAATTTTAGAGAACTTAATCAGTTAGCTCTGTTTATCAAAATGTGTTTCCTCTGAATCTTTCTACTACTTCTAAAAATCTTTTGGATCAAAATATACCAATTTTGTTAAAACACAAATGGAGTTGACACTGAGTTCTCATCTAGGTGGCAATGGAAAGGAGCAGTGCAGTGGGAGGGAGATTTGCAAAGGAAAGTGGGAAGAGAACAATGGCAGAGGAAATAAGGTAATAGGAGATTAAGGGATGGAGAAATGTCAGTTTCACTGTTGAGATCTTTGGTTTACTCATAACTACTAAAACATATGAGGTTTTAGAAGAGGGACACAATATGGGAAATGACAAAATAATGTGGTTTTAGTCCTTAAGTGGGATAATCTTCCTAAAGAGAAACTCTCCTGAGGTATAAATTCATTGAAATTAAACATATAGGAGCCATTCAATGAAATGTGATATGCAATATGATTGTACTGGGGAACTCACTCATCTATACATATCTATTATGAAAAATATGTGACTTACCTTCCTAGCTCAGAAACACAATCCTCCAGGGCCTGCTTGTCCTTCAGCCACTGCTTCTTGAAATTTTGGAACTCTTTTTCAGCTTTTGCTGTCTGTTCCTGAATATTGATCACAGAAGCTTTGGGCAAAGAGTGGTAGAGCTTCTCTCCTTCCTCAGAGGCAGCGTCTAGCTTGGTCTGACCTTCATTGACTGTATCCAGTATAGCCTATGTTACAAAAATAGATATAAACCATTTAATAACCATACCAAATGCATTTCTTTTAAATTCTATTGTACACTTCACGCTTAATTTTTTTATTCTTATCGCATAAAGAGTTATATTTTATAGATGAAACAGTATGGCTCCTATCATTTTACAATGCAGTTCAGTCCACTGTTTAGTAAACTGAGATGTAAAACAATCAGCTTGATGTGGTCCATGCGTGCATAGTTTGTGGCTTGTTTTCTCGCAAAGAAGGAGAAACGGGTCAGCCCAAGTTGCACACAAGGTGTGCACACATTGCACAGACAACATGGACAAAATTGTCATTGTATTTTTACAAATCACTGCAGTTCTAAACTGAATTGTTTCTCTGGGTGCTCTATAAGACATCACCTTTGCAGTTATGCAAATTTGGATTGGTTATGCTCTCTGAGAACACATCATTCCTTCACATCATTCCTTCTTGTTCTATTGTCTTGGCACGATCTTTAAGTGCATCCTCTTTCCCTTTCCTCACATTACATTTAGGTATAGGCTCTCCTCTCCAACTTACACAAGTGATCCTTGTTCCATAGCAAGAAGCTACCTTTGTAAATAATGTTGTTTTAAATCTTAAAAAAAATGTGTAACTAAATATTCACAGAAAACTTTACCATAGCTATACACAAATAGAATATTTAAAATGTACCTGTAAATTCTGCATTTTTGTTTCTAAGGTTTTACTGTCTCCAGACCGGTCAGAGGACTTTTTTAGCCTATTTTTTATTTCCTCAAACCATTCCTCAAATTCATGCAAGGCATCTAAAAGTAAAATAAAAACAAGTAAATTACATAGAAATACAATCGAAGGTAATATTGTGTATTTGTGTAGACATGCACTCGGACAGTCCTCTTACAGTTCTCAATAAGATTTTTTACATGTTTAACAAAAATGAAACAATAATTAATGTTATAATACCCTAGAGCCCAGGGAAGCAACAGTACTATAATAAAGTCAACATTAACCCTTTATCTACAGTCCAAAAGAGTGAACACTGTGATATCAAACATAAAAACATAGAATGTGACGGCAGAACCATTCGGCCCATCTAGTCTGCCCAATTTTCTAAATACTTTCATTAGTCCCTGGCCTTATCTTATAGTTAGGATAGCCTTATGCCCATCCCACACATGCTTAAACTCCTTTACTGTGTTAACCTCTACCACTTCAACTGGAAGGCTATTCCATGCATCCACTACCGTCTCAGCAAAGTAATACTTCCGGATATTATTTTTAAACCTTTGCCCCTCTGATTTAAGACATGTCCTATTGTTGTGGTAGTCTTCTTTTAAATATAGTCTCCTCCTTTACTGTGTTGATTCCCTTTATGTATTTAAATGTTTCTATCATATCCCCCCGTCTCGTCTTTCCTCCAAGCTATACATGTTAAGTTCCTTTAACCTTTCCTGGTAAGTTTTATCCTGTAATCCATGAACCAGTTTAATATCCCTTTTCTGAACTCTCTCTAAAGTATCAATATCCTTCTGAAGATACGGTCTCCAGTACTGTGTACAATACTCCAAGTGAGGTCACACCAGTGTTCTGTACAACGGCATGAGCACTTCCCTCTTTCTACTGCTAATACCTCTCCCTATACAACTAAGCATTCTGCTAGCATTTCTTGCTGCTCTATTACATTGTCTACCTTTAAGTCATCAGAAATAATCATCCCTAAATCCCTTTCCTCAGATGTTGAGGTTAGGACTCTACCAAATATTCTATACTCTGCCCTTGGGTTCTTACGTCCAAGATGCATTATCTTGCACTTTTTCACATTAAAAGTCAGCATTAGGCCTATTCAGGCCACAGTAATGAATCTTACTACACAAAAGTCCAAGGGAATGAATTAAACTACAGAAAATCCAACATTAGCATTATTAATACATACCAAAGAGTGACCCTTAATACAGAAAGAGCAACACTTGTACTACTACTACAGCAAATAGGAATGAGTCTTACTATGCCAAAGTACTACTACCACAGCAAAAGAAAGTAATCTTTAATAAGGCAAAACCTACATCATTAGCCCTATTACTACATTCATGAGATTGAAGCTCAGTACAGCAAAGATAACTTAATTCCTTTACTACAGCCCAGGGGAGTGAAGCTTACTATAGCAAAGTCAACTTCATTATTTTACTACATCCAGGGGCAGTGAAGCTTACTACAGTGCACACTATTAGTACTATTAATATTGTTCTAGTTTTGCTAGGAAATATATTCCAGTGATACTCCTTAACATTGTGAGTTGTGGGTGATCACTTAGAAGGAACCTTAAGCACTATTACAGGATGGATTTTACAATATTCCCACTGGCGTGTCTCTTAAAATATTTTTTTCAATTCCTATTGGAAGCTTATCAATTCTATATATATTACACCCACTGACAACAGATAACTTGCTTGATGAGGGTTACTGGAGTTAATCTATCCCTCTAATGAGGTGTATGTCAAACACAAAAGAAAAAAACCTGTTAAGTCTTTGTGGTGCCATTTCATGTAATGGGTTATTAGAACAGAATTAGACATTTGTGTATATCGCCCACGAGAGTATAAACTAGAGTGTAAAATCTCAAACTTTCTCTTTTTAAAGCACTATTTGTGAAGTAACTTAGTACTTTATACCAGTAAAGCGTTTCTCCAATGTTTCCTGAAGGCCTGCTTGTGTCTTCATGCATAGCTGATTCACAGATTCATATTTCTTTATCAGAGCAGTCACAGTTACTCCGATGGCCTCCAGCTCTTTAGAGCGATACTGGCGGCATAGGCTATTCAGGTTATCTTGGGTGCTGTTAATGCTAGATAGCTGGCTTTGAAGGTCTTGCTGTATATCCTAATTGAGAAACAAGATAAGTATATTTAATAGCAAATTTTAATAGCATATATATTTGTGTGTATGTGTTTCTGTATACATACACACACATATATATATATATATATATATATGTATATATATATATACACACATTATAGGGTGCTGCTGGGGCCATATATATATATATATATATATATATATATATGTGTGTGTATGTATACAGAAACACATACACACAAATATATATGCTATTAAAATTATATATGCATGTTCAGGTGAGTGCAGCCCTCTTGGTTTCACTTATATATTTGGGAGTCCCAGGCCAACTCCTTGGTTTTGCACCCCTCCCTGTCCCAGGTGCATCATTCCAGGACCCTATTTAGCCTTGACTTGCAGAGAGTCCCAGTAAGGAAGTATTGCCCAAGTAAGTGGATTAATCTCATAAGAGCAAGCATTAGGCTGCTAGAGTTGGACCTGCCAAGAATGGGGTACATTGACGTTGTGGCAGGCTTATGCAATAAATGATCATATAATGTAACTAAACCTCCATTATTTTTTTTGCCTAGGTGAGGTGTTTTTAAATAAAACTATTACAATCTCTATGATTTGAAATCATTGTTTAGTGAATAACAGAGTGCGTTGGATTCTGTATTTTATATATATATATATATACACATACGTATAAGATTATATATAATGTTATGATATGTCAAGCTATTTACTAATATTTATTTCTAATGTATGCAGTTGTCACATCACACAAATGTTTTATAGACATTTATGTTAAATTAGTGATTTAAGTTATGATTTAATGTTCTGGCATTCGGACACCCAAGCATTTACCTGTCTTACCCAATATAAATCTCTCACTTACCTTTAATTTCTTCACATCTTCAGGATCCTGACTACTTGTATATTTTAAGATGGATTCTTCGACTTTACTCAACCAATCTGTCATTTGTTCAATAAAGTTTTCCAGCTCTGTTTTCTGAGCACTGAAATTGTTTAGCGTTCCTTTAGCCATTTGTGATACCTCTTTGGCATGTTCGAGTTTTTGTCTCAAATCTGCCTCCATGAACTACAAAATAAATATAGTAATATATTATAAATCAATGTGGTGTGTATCAGCTATTATAGATTTCAACAATAAATCTCACAATTAAAAGTGTTGTGTATGAGTGCAACACATACAATAATATAACTCACATTGTGCTTAAATCTATCACATACCTCCACAGCAGAATAATGACTATTAACCTACATGTGCGTGATATTGCTCCTCCCTTTCCTCCCTTCACCCGCCCTTCCCCCACACACAACATCAACACCTCTCAAAACAAAAACAAAAAAGTTCCTCTTTGGCTGCGATATGTTACAAGGAACATTCTTATGTTCTTAAGTACGAACTTTTATAAATGTGATAAAAAATAAATATGTATTCTGCACTCGTTAGACTGAAGAGCTATTAAAAGCTATTAAAAGTAATTTATACTTACAAGCCATGTAAGACAATAATTTAGAGATGCAGAAAAGCAAATCTGTTGGTTATGTTCGGCTAACGTTTACATTTTAATGATTTACAGAAGTGCAATGCTAAATGTGCCAGAGACAGTTATTGTTAGTAAGATCTATGAAGTAAACCAACATAAAGACTTATTGAGAGAACATGGAGAATGTAATTCTAAAAATATAACATGTATACACACAATAGTTGCACAACGCTGTATCAACAAGGAGGGGAATGTTACACTGCTCTAAAATAATATAGCTTTGCTCTGTATTTTACTTAAAATATCAAGTTATGAATAATAAATTTAAAGTTATCCGAAATGTAAGCGTTTTATTATTACTACATATTTTTATTGTTTCTAGAATTAAGTAGAATACCTCGTGGAAAATAATTTAACATTATAGATTCTGAATCTAGATGCACATTGTCAGGTAGTTATATTAAGAAATTTGGTACAACATTCTAAAAATGAAGCAATCGCCATGGAAACCAACTAAATGTTTCTGTGGTTTAGTTCACTTTCTGAAGCAGAATCGCACTTTATACATAACTGCTGGCGATTATTTGCATCTACATCAACTTCCTGCATTTTATATTGTAAACATTTTATGTTTCAAGTACTCCTATAACACATATACCAAGCTGCATTATATTATGCTTTTTTTAAGGCAGCTCACATCCCAGAAGGCAGCAGCTCATTCCCACGAAATGCCCAGTTCCTAAAAATAATCAGATGAGATAAGTGTTCAAGAGAACGCATTTATCTATAATTGTATCTTGTACCTGGAGCTCAGCCGGAGGTTCCTGACTCTTGGTAAGTTCTTTTAGCTCATAAACCTTTGAATGAAATTCATCCAGCTTCTGCCCTTTGTTTGTGACTTCAGTCTGAATGGTTCGGAGAGAAAATGGAGAGCAGAGTGTAAAAACAAAGCACCGAGTTAGAACGTTTTCCAGAAATACTTTGATTTCTGGCCAAACCTCAATTCCAACTCTGCAGTACTCAAATCAATTGGAATGTTCCAAAGAAGTGACTGTTTAATACTGCATTTAAACTAACAAGTCTGGAAACAATTATTCATTTAACGGTTTGATGACTAAATAGTGTTAATTAGAAAGCTACAGATAAACTAAGGTGAATTAATTTTCCAAGTTATACAATTCTCTAACTGTAATCATCAAATGATTGTTGGATAAGTAATTATTATCCTGTAAAATAATTTGTGGGGAAATGTAGTTTCTAAAATAACTAATTTGACATGTGAATGCTGTTTAGAAACATTTAACCATTAACTTTAAAAGTTAGCACTATTTTACAATTACTTGTAGCTTATGGAATATCATTATTTAGTAAAAGTTTGGAGCCTATGTCATTGCATCAAGTCAGTTTAGAATTGGGAACTAGGGTCCTTATGTTTAAAAAAATAACTTGCCAAACTTGGACAAATTTAATGTAAGTCAAAAAAATATCCACCTTATCTGCATTGCTAACCCAGCTTTCATAAAAGGTAGAATAAATTATTTATTCATTAAACAGAGAGATGTGCTGATTTAATTTTTAACACTACAGTATTAAATTAATTATTAAGCTCCCCGCCCTCTCTTAGATGGCATGGAAAAGGGGAACTTACTTCATGCCTCCATGGCTTGATGATCTCCTCTAACCCAATGCTTTCCTATAGGAAAGCATTGGGAGGCTATTGCATAGCACAGCAAAACACCACTCAGCATCTCCTTATAGAGATGCATTGTATCATGTTCACTTGTTTCCTTTTATCCCAATAATTTGTTTCCTTTTACCACTATAATTCTTGAAAATTCTTGAAAATGAAGTTGTCAAAAAATGTATATTTTACTTTTTTGGTGCTAAATTTTTTTTGGTGCAAAACTAAATTATGTAGTGTTTCCATGGGATCTGGGTAGGTTTTATAATAGGGGCAATATTAAAACTACTTCTGAAAAAAACTACATTCTATCACAATATAGGGTTACATATGTGTATCTCACTTAATTGAATAGCACATATCACATTGATGTCGATGGGAGACAGCTGCCTTAGATACATTTTTTAAATGTAATGGGATTCGGCCCACAGTCTGACATCCACAACAAATATTTACAATTGGCTACATGGAGGCCCAAAGACAAAACATAGAAAGCTCCTGAAAGGAGTATATGCAATCTAAGATGATCACCCATTGTAAAGCGCTACGGGATTTGTTGGTGCTTTATAATAATAATAATAATGATAATTAAAAATAAAATTATAATAATCCCAAAGTCTTCATAATGAAAATAAACCAAAGACACCTATCATATAAATGGTCCGAACATGTCATGTTTAACTGTTTTATGGCGTGTTCATACATGGCACATCATTCCACATTATTTTGCCCACATGAATTATTTTTTAACCAGTTAAAAAGTTAATTGAAAATTATATATATGCATACTTTACTTAATAATAATTGCACTCAACTAGCTGAACGCTAATTTAAACAAGGCTTCACCATCACTACTGAAGTACAATATGATTGTGACGAAAGTATCCTCGCCACTGGGTTTTGGAGAGGCCTGCTTGCCAGCCTCTTTCCCTCTGACTATGGCCCCTGGGGTGTATTGCCTTTTAAAAACACTATTTGTGCATATTGGGACTTAGCACAATGCCCCTTTCAAACATGTAGAGGCGGGCATCTTAAATTGTCCAGCCGTGTTTTGTCGTCAAGTGTATGGAACTGTTTTGGGCATGGGACCATGTGCACTGTGGGGCAAAAATACGACTTCCAGGAAATTCCTGAACCCCTGAACCTATCTGGGTGATTTTTGGATATGTTGTTCACCTACATCAAAAATTAATGTTTTTTCTGTTTAGAGTTAATTGAGTTAGCCCATTGTCTTTGTTAATTGTATCACAAGCAGAGGGGAGGGTTTGTGTACATTATCTGGGAGTGTCAAATACAATACTGTTTTGATTGGTTTTGTGACTTTGTGTCCTGTGCTCCACAAGGTCCACATGGGTGGTAACCTTATGGGGAAAACTGTATAAAAGACTATAAACCCTCAGATCTGCTGAGTTCCTGTTTTACCTTCAACATAGAGCCTCGTCTCGTGTGTGGGGGGAAAAGGCTGCATCTACACTGGGGGATTGCTATACTCTGTATATTCCCCTGGACTATAATGACATAGCTCTTTTAAGAGCTATTCCGGCTTAACTCTCTGGAGGAAGAGAGGGTCACCCACTGGAACCTGGAGCCTTGTCGTAGGTCCAGGGTGGGTAGAGGACGGCGAGACCCCAACAAAGCTGCGGCGGTTCGTGGGATATGCGATGCTTATGGTGTCTGGTGCGGTGCTGATGGTCCTTGGTAAGCACTGGGAGCATCGATTGACGGAGGTTCCGTCACAATGATCTTCAGCCTACCTTCAGTTTGACAATTAGGTGAAGGGGGAGAGGAGATCACTAAGGGACAGGGAGAGGAGACTAATAAGGGACTGGAGGGGAGACCACTAAGGGAAAAGGGAGGGTGGAAGAGATTACAAGGAAACAGGGAAAAGGGGTGAAAGAGACACACAAAGGGGCTTGTGGGGGAGAAAGAGGCACACAGAGGGGCCTGAGTGGTGAGAAAAACACACAGATGTGCTGTGGATGAAAGAGACATACAGAAGGGCCTGGGGGAGAAAAAGACACAGAGGGCCAGGGGTGGGGGGGTGGAGGGGTCTGGATGTGAAAGAC